TTATTGTTTATTAACTTATGCAACGTAATTTCATAAACTATTATATCAATATTATTCTATTGTTTTTTTACCTTGACGCAAATTTTTTATTTGATTGACTTAATAATCATCGAGTTATAACAGTTTACAAATAATAATAAACTAAGGCGACATCAAACAAAAAAACAAACAAAAAAATCAATCACTGGCTTACAAATGTATCGTAATAATTGGAATTGTTTAAATTTTTTTCTGCATAGAATGTGGCCAAAAATGACTTAACCAAGTATATTATTACTCAAAAAAAATAGTCTTTTAGAAATTAGCTATTTTTTAAGTGCCGAGATGAATTTCCGACTGGTGTGCTTTATCATTTCAAGTCTTTTTTTTATTCTGCTCATCTTCTTATCTTACATTAGTCTTTTGTACATATACTTTCATATCATTTTCGTCCTTACTTTCAAATATACAGAAAATTTGTATCTTTAAAACAATCAAACTTCTAAATGTTTTTTTATTATGATAATATTGTTGATTATTTTATAGAATATATTCTTTAGGTCTCTATTTCTCATTGTTGAATGATTGCTGTTGAGAGAGTACACTGACATAAAAGACATTTTCTGGGCGTTTGACGATTTTAAGTTCATATTGATTTCAATAAGCAACTGTTGTTTGTTAATCGATATTGAATTTCGGTCATTATTTATGAAATAGTAATTCAATGGGTAATACCTTGCCGTGATGTATTTTTGATTTTCATGGAAGCTGACTTACTGACTTTAAGCAACAACTATTATGTATTCTGTTCCAAAAGTTGTCTTGAATTTTAGCTCACAAAATATGCATGTATATCCGGACCGCAGCTACTTACTATCTTGACGTGATGATTATGCTTGCCTGTCGTTATGACTCAACCGAGCTTTATTGGTTGGAAAATTAGTCATTTATCAGTCTCATGATAAAATACTCGATAACTAGTTCTTTTCCATAGTTAAAAATCTTGATATTAACTGAATAATTGAAGTGCCATTAAAATCATTCGTAGTCGAGTTTTACTTTAAATCTCATATCCTGTGAGCACTAGAAGAAATGTAAACAGATTGTATTTCATTTTTGTGAAGGTAAATCAACTATACTGCGTTCAGTTTTCGGAAAAGGTGAAAAGTGAATGTTTAGAGGACAATACAACTTTTTTGTGGAAAAGCTTGCTGAGTACTTTTGAAGATCGTTGATCATATCATTTGAAGATGTTTTAAATATCTTTACTGGTATAAAACAGATTGTGTTTACTATGGTGAAATATTGATAAAGTTTTTTAATGATTACTACATATTCCTATCTCATGAAACATTGGATGTTGATGATTAGCTTAAATTGGTTAGTGAATGTTAAGATAATTTCGATAGGAAAAGTTTACAACTTAACTGAACAAAATTATTTATTTGAACATTTTGGATATTCTTAAAATTAATTATTCTTTTTTCAAAATATATTAACTTAAACATACTACTTGTTATTTCAGGAAACATTTTTAGTTTTCTATCAAACTATTCTTCGAACATTATAAAATTAATGTACGTGCTATATCCAAATATATTGTTTAGATCAATATCGTTCGGAATTTTGTAAAAATGAAAATAAAAGGAGGTTGAAAAAGTCAAGAGAAGCGATAAAACTAATTACATAATTTTATCAAACTTTAAATTAAAAGTGTATTAACCTTTTGAGTTTTGCCACGGATTTTTAGTATTGTAACTGTTGAGTCTCTTTGGCATATGTGCAGTAAACATTATCCTATTAAACAAGTAAGTGGTCATCTATACCAAGTAAATAGATGGATAACGTGGTGTCATTTGAAGCTGATGGTACTGGATTCGAGTCTCGGTATGACCACCAACTCTGGAATGCAGGCATATCCAGTTGATGAAACTCAAACTGGGTGAAACGTGCGTCCTTGATTCTATTAGTAGCCGCCACTTATCTTTACTTATAATACTTGCGGCTTAATCGTAATATTGACGTGATCCACACAAGATGAACATATACCAAATTCTGTAGAGGGGAGTCAAATATAGTAAAATATCATTTACAATCAAACGAAAGAAAACAGTAATAACGAGTTAATTAATTTTTGTGAAACATTTGACATTTTACAAGTCATTTATATTTTCGATAATCAGATAACGTTAATCGTCAGGTGTTACTCTTTGTTTTTAAAGAGCTAATTTGAAAAAAAATTGACATTTCAGTCGATTGCTTAACACTTTTTTCAATAAAGGTTTAAATATCCTAATCATTTATTTTGGTTATTTATTATTTCATTTGCTTAGTAAAACTAACAAATGAACTACAACACTAGGTTATACAATTTGTTGGTGGAGTATTTGTATTAACTATCAAGTTGATAATTTAAAATTCTTGAAGATTAGTTGTACACTTGGTGCTAAAGTTATAGATATTTAACATTTATAATTAGAATTTTATGTTCGTAAAAAAGTAGTTATGATTTTTTCATTACTATGATAAACAGATTGTCAGTTAAAATTTCATTATATAATTATACGATCATATAATTTAACTAGCTTTCTAATTAATATCAAATTCTAATTTTTATTAGAAACGTTTATTTCACTTTTGTACATATTCTTTTCATTTTTCATTATCCTTTCATCAAGCTATCATTTTAAGCTATTTTGCAATTTTTATAAATTTTCAAACATGTTTTTTGTAATATAATTTTTGAAATCAGGAATCGATCAATGTTAGATTCTTATTAGAAACCTGGAAGCACTGTACGGCCATTATGAGACTCATTAGGAGTGTGCATTATTAACGACTCCCATTATTCGCAAGAATCGAACCACAGACCTTCGGTTTTGTGCGTGAACGCTTAACCTCTGGACAATTGAGCCGGTATTGAACTTCTATCAATCCACGGTCTTGCACAACCTCATCCACTGGTCTAACATTGATCGATTCACGATATCAAAGAAATTCAACAATCTCCACAACCCTATAATGATAATATGATTTTATTTAGAAGCCCTCTTGCATGAATTTGTTAATTTGTTTGTTGATATTTATTTATATTACTTTCACCAAGTGTGTGTAAGTTGATAAATGCGATTAAAAACTTTGGTTGAGAATAGTTAAAAAAACAAGTAATCAAATTAATTGATATTCATCAAATAAGTTTCTTCCGATTGATTTTAGTGATTTTCATATTTAACAATACTTCTGTCGGACTTTATTATATTCATCGATATCATGAAGTGATCAGTTGAAATGTATTTTTTCCTTTCAAATCATTTTTTAAATTATATTCAAAAGCAATTAAATAATATAATCATAGATTTCTGGAAGCAGAAATTATATGATTAAAATTAACATGTAATAATGAATAGAATTCCAGTAAAGATATGTTTCAGTAAATTATTATTTGTTTCTATATGCAAATATGATACAGGTTATGCGTTTACTTATGTTGCCGTAAATTATTCTAAAACCAATGTCTAATGGTTAATAGTGTAACGTTTAGTAAATATTCTTAACTTACTGTCAGATCATTTTCAAATTTAGAAAAGTTCAGCCAAAACAGAGATAATAATTTGTACTTAACGTAAATTCGTTTAATTCGTTCGATAATTTAGAGATTTGTAAAATAATCTAACCGATATTGTAAATCGTTCAAAAATATGAATACAACATTGTTATCAACTTATATTATCTTGTATTTTTCATGATTCAAATAGACATGTATTTTTTGTTAATCAATCTTTCTAACGGAAATAATATATCGTTTGTATCAAAAAAAAGCTAGAATTATTATTTGCTTGCTTTCTATTAGATAATATCTTCATGAACGCTTCGTCTTGATAATAATTCATTAGCTATTGATAATCTAAGATATTAGGATAAGCTCTATGTTAATTGTGCTCACAACTAATGTCTATTGATCATTAAAACTCATAAATAATGTTAGTTACAATGAACAGTGTAAATTTTATTTCATTTGTATTGGTTGTTTAAATTCTCTCATTGATATTTAGGATTGCAATTGACCAGTCTTTTTTGGTATATGTTCATCCTATGCGGATTGCCTTGATATTTTGACTTTAGGTTACAAGCATTATTAGGATGAAAGGTGCATTCTGGATTTCACAGCTACCTACTATCCACCTCTGTTCAAATGTAAATCGTAGTTTGAAGCTTTCCTAATAAGTATAAGTATTTGTAGAGTGATTATAAACAATTAAATAATATTTATACTATTTTATTTGATGTAAACCGTTTGATTAAATCTAAAAATACTAACTCAAAGCTTTTTTTTAGAACTAAATATATGTCAGTGCCTTCCAAAATTAAAGTTCAAGTTGTAAAAGTTTCGTTTTAAGTTTAGCTTTTTATAGAAATAGATTTTCTGACACCAAGGAAAAATATCTGCTAACTCATTTTATTTGTTTCTTTAAATTGATGTTTAATTCTGCAAAATGCTTTGAAAATTCACAAATGTAATTATGACCAATCTATAGCTCCGGTATGCTTTTCCTCTAAACATATTGATTTTATTAGGCAAGCGTAAAAGATGAAGGTAAGATGCTGTAGAAGCTGCTGACTCGTGCTCTTCCGACCTATTTTTCCCAGTAAGAGCATGAGTAGATACAGCTTTTCATTAGAAATGTTAAGGTGCTTACTCAATTCTTTTCAAAATTGTTCCAGTTACTGTTGAACGAATGATTGGATAAGATAAAATATGGTTTGATCAAGTTCTCATCATAAAATGAAAAAATGTTCTGTCTATTACATAAATCTATCACTGAAAAACAAATAGTTAACTTCTGTGAATTAACATTGAATCTTAATATTTCAGAAGAATGTTATAACCCAAAGTTACAGTAAATTCTATCACAAATATATCTTCTGTTTCAATCTTATGATTGCAATTATATTGGTTTACTGGAACACTTTAAGTTACAATAGTGTTCAACCTGATAAACATATATTTCTTTTTATTACAGAGCGTTTCTGGTGTATTTACAACATTACGTGTATTTCGTGTATTCAGAGTGTTCAAATTTTCTCGTCACAGTGTCGGTCTTCGAATACTTGGCTACACTTTGAAATCATGTGCATCTGAATTGGGCTTTCTTCTATTTAGTCTAACAATGGTTATTATTATTTTTGCTACAGTTATGTATTATGCTGAAAAATCAGTTGAAGGAACCACTTTTTCCAGTATTCCATCATCATTTTGGTATACTATCGTCACTATGACTACACTTGGGTAAGTTGACATTATAAATTTTTAATTAAGAGATAGATGAACTGAGTAATGTCTATTCATCTAACTTCTCTATTGACCAATTTTTATTCCGATTTTCTTTCCCAACTGTTTTTCGTTTGAACTCAATCTAGTACAAATTGCGTCTACCCAAATAAAAAGGGTGACAGCAATTAATTTCATGATGTGTTGATTTGGTATTCACATTAATAACTTAACTAATCAATAACTAATTGGGTAGATTATAAAGAAAAGCTTAGAAACCACTTTCTGACCCTAGAAACATATGATTATTACTTTTTTCATTTCTTTGTGTGAATGTAAAAATCACTGTAATAATTAGTGAATATTAGCTGTGAGAGTAAATCACGAGAAAAAAAAAAGAAACTTAACAATAATTTATTTCATTGGTTATCGTTTGGAGATGATATGAACCTAGTTTGGTTTTTGTCCGGGTTAATTTAATTCGAAGATGAATTTCTCAGTTCTATTTCACTGGGATTAGGCTGAGGTTTACTTCCTCTAGAAACATAATAAATAGGCATTTAATATGACAGTGATAAGTGAAAAAAAATACCAAATTAATTTTTGTATGCTAACATTTCAAAATAATTTCATTTGATAGATTGAACTGATTAAGAAATGTCGATTGATTCATATAAATATTGTTTAGGATAGTTTTCAACTAGTTCAGTGTCATATTTCTCATCACTCTTACAATGTTGTTATCCCAGAGGAAAAATTTCGTCTTTCATCATCATCATCATCATCCTCATCATCATTATGATATAAAACTAACAAAAGAAAAATAAAGATTGAACTATTTTTTAATAGAAATTGTGTAATTCATTAATTCATAGTAAATATACTTTACTTATTTCTTGGTTAGATGACCTAAATGTGAACGTAAGTATCCTTAAATTTGAATATAAAGCAATCATATATATATATATATATATATATATATATATATATATATATATATATATATATATATATATATTATTTTGTGTATAGAAACATAAACCCATTAGATTTATTCTGTGTACATATATCTGTCCAAGTTAAAGATAGATGATTTCTATCGGGGATAAAATTGCATTGTGTGTGTTGCATTTTATTTGTTAAACGTATTTTTTGTTGGAGCAAAAGTTGGAGAAACGCTTTTCCACCATTATTATTAGTCAGTGGTTTGAATGAATAAGTACCTTGGTACGGTTAATTTTAATTTTCCTAGAAAGTGTAATCTGGCGAAAAAGTTTAGGATGAATGAATTTCAATGTACTGGTTGAAAAAAAACCGTACAAGGATTTAGCTGTAGATTTTAAGGTATACTAAAAATCACTAGTGAGCATGTTTACGTACATATAATCTTGTTTCCTTCATTAATCTGTTAGTATTGCTTACATTAAAAAAAGTTAAAATTGGGTCCGCTAATAAAGTCGAACAGGTGCATCAGTAAACTGAATTATACCATTTCATTACGCAGTAAAATTGAGTTAGAAAGTATTGAGAATCAAGTCCAAGTACTGAGTTGTTTGCTTTTACAGTCACTACCTACTTAAAACTTTTTGAAATGTAAGGCCTGGTTTTCTCTGAGATAATCTGTCAATATACGAGTTTAGGCTTCTTAACTGCGATTACAATTGATCTCTTTTCTGTTGCAACCACAGGATTTCGTATTTCTAAAGCAGACAAAATCAGACGAAATATGTTTCATTTTTATTCTAGTTTAAATTGACAAACCATTCGAGATAAGGTTTCATTAAATTTTCTTATGAAAAGCAATCGAATAACTAAGAAAATGGATAGCTTAAGAAAATAATGGGATTTCTTCCACGAATAATTAATATACTTTCAATTAATTGGTTTTTGTGTGTTTATGTTGGTATTGTCTTCCATGGTGTGGGTAGCCGGGAAACGACAACCACCCTCATACCTATAAGAGCACACGAGACCGAAACGATCACAATCAACTCCTTCCTACACCTCCTAATAACTCTCTTATCTCCACGACCATCTCTTCTTTTATTACTTTGCCACCTCCTGCCGCCTATCCAAACGTTTCGAGTCTATGAAACGTTATTGCCGGTCTCCTGGAACTATGCTGTAAACTAAATGTTGGGGCTTTAAATGTTCAGACCTTGTGTCAAATAGGGCGACTGACTTCCTTAGCTAGAACTCTGGAATTCCGTGCAATGGCTGTAAACTGCGTCTCCGAAACGCGCATACAGGATCCGATTACAGTGAATAATTTGATCTCGACTTGTGTATCTGGAAGCCCTGCTGCTGCTTCTGGTGGTAGGTATAGTATTATTCTTCGGGCAGAATTAGCTCTCTTACACTTGATCCCATTAGACAGTCGCTTATGCGGTGTCCGACTAAACGGGACAGTAAGGACTCGGAAAGATATGGTGACTTGCAGTTGCATCTTTGTTGTCTGTGCCTACGCTCCCACTGACTGCATTTCGGATGAGTTAGGCGCTCTGATATAGTTATACTGACTGGTGATTTAATGCTTAGGTAGATAGACTAACTGAGAAGGAAAGAAACATGGGTGGATATTATGGTGTCGCGACTAATCGAACAAATAATGGCAACCGTCTGTTGTAGCTGTGCTCAGATCACCGCCTATTTCTAGGACACACTAACTTTAGGCATAAGGAAAAACATCTCTTGACCTGGCGACCCCCGAAGCCGACCCAACGATAGACCCAACTGGATCATATCACAATCAGCCACGATGGAGATGTTTAATGGAGGACTATCACTCGTTCTGGGGCACATTTCTAGATTCACATCATGCTGTAGTGCTAGTGCGTATTGGTTTGTGACTTAGTGGAAGACACCGCTAGAACACCTCTTTAAGTTCTACTTCATGATACCACAGCCGAGAATATATTTCAGGAGCAACTAGAAAAAAAGTTATGCGGCCATGTAAATGATCTCCATCCGGAAGCAGCTTGAAATGATATTGAAAATTCTGTGGAAACAGCAGTGTTATCTGCTAGCAAGGTAAACCATGAGGCTAGGAAGTAGCCTGATAAAAAGCCTACGCTACGATCGCGAACAGTGTTGTGTAGCGAAGGTAAAAGCGATGGAAAAGGCAGCGGCGATAAGCATCATTAGAAAACTTTTCCGCCTAATCGAGGAAACCGGTATTAGAAATCCATCTGTTAGCGAAACTATCTCGGAAAAGAATGGGCGTATCCTTCATTCTCAACCCAGAAGATTGGATCGATGGGCAGAACACTTCAGGGATCAATTCAATTAGCCCTCAATCACACTTTAGTTGCCCACGATCTCCAGTCATCCTGAATGGCAAATCAGTTTAAGTCCTCCTAGTCTTTATGAAGTTGAGAAAGCTATGGGAAATCTGAAGCGAGGTAGAGCAGCAGGTCCTGACAGGCTAACTCCTGAGATTTTTAAGGATGGTGGTCCAGTTTTATCATTTATATTGACTGAAACTGTAGATAGAATCTGGGAACTGGACGTAATCCCATCTGACTTGTCTCAATCGCTGACTGTCTCAATTTATAAGATAGGACAAGCGTCTTTAGTGACAATCACAGAGGAACCAGTCTAACTAATATAGTGTCTAAAATATCAGCCTCGATTATACTTCTACGCCCAACTAGAGCTTGTGAAGATCAGAATAGAGAAAACGAGGTTACTGTCAGACATGGACGTGGATGTAAATTAAGGTGAATTATAAATAAATTTTAAATGGTTGTGTTGGTGAATAATATAAACCAAGGAACCTATACCACCATAACGAACATTGGGTTAATTATATTATAGTTCGTTTATAGAATGAACTGTCAGTCAATCCATAAAGTTTTCTTTTTTATAATCATATTTGACATTTCAGTCTAGTTTTTGAATTTGAGTCTTATCTGTCGAAGGATTTATCCCCCTGTCAACATACAAACAATATCAGTTATATGCTTTAAACTATCAAGTTTTTGTAAATTAATTCCCAACTCACCTCATTGCATCTGTTAAATGACTGATGTTGTCAGCATGATAGAGTATGTTAAGTATTTCTTAGTGGAATGTCTTCTAGATAATTCCTATTTGTCCAAATAATCAACATTAAAAAACTATCAATATTGCATAAATTTCAAAAAAAGAAAAACTCAAAGCGTTAACTACAATGTACTATTTTACAGCTCAGATCACACTGTCACAGACAATAGAAGCGAATGTGAACAGTGAAACGAGTGCAGTTGAATAAGTAGGAATGCAAATTAATCAATGGATTTAAGAGATCTATGTATAGAAATGCGAACGATTCATTGAACAATTTAAGTAACTAAGACTTAAGCTAGTAAGTGGAATTTGTGTTCAGTCTCTATCATGTGATCAATCATACAGCCTCTTACAAACAAGATAATAATGGTAATAATATTTCAAAGATATTGACAAATTGTTACTGAGCCAATGACACACTATCTATCAAATAAGTTTATCAAAGGGTTTAACCAAATTAATGGTATTATAATTTCTTCAAATATGCAATATTTTTTTTCAGTTATGGTGATATGGTTCCAGAGACAATAATCGGGAAAATTGTAGGTGGTATGTGTTCACTTTCTGGAGTGCTTGTAATTGCTTTACCTGTTCCTGTTATTGTATCAAATTTCTCTCGTATCTATAATCAAAGTCAACGATCTGATAAAAGGCAAGCACAGAAAGTAAGTCTGGAAAGCATAGTTTTGAAATTTTCCATATTCAGCTGACAATTACTCATAAATTATATTAGCAGTTACAAAGAGGTTTCTTGAAAGTCTTCAACTGTCATTTTATCGTAGGATAAATGATGTGCAATGTATCTTGAGTATATCAATGCAAACAACCGGGAAACATTACAACCATTATTTTTGTTATCTTTATTAAGATCTATCCTCACATTCGTACATATTCACTGAATTTGAAAGATGGAAATAAAAAAGACAAATAATTTGAAAGTTACACATCAGTGGATTTTAACAAAAGCAATTCAGTTGAAGATAGATTTTAAATTACTTTGTTTAAAAAGGTGCATTTACATCATCAAAATATCGTGAACAATTATGTTGTAGTATAAACATATATGGTCTCAAAATTAAAACATATTATGAACTTGTCAGTAATTATAAATAATCCGATATATTTCTCAAGTTCATTGTCACAAAACTGTCTGTTGGTTTCACTATTGAATAATAAAAATACTGTATTTCAGATATGCAGATACAACAGCAAGGTGGTCAAAGCATTCTAAGTGTCTTCCATTAAACATGACGTCCAAAAATATTCAGTTATTCATCAACCATTTAAGAAATACATTAAGTTTACTAGTTACCTTGAATATAACAACCCATGTTACAGACTTATTGAGTGATGAAAAAAATGAAGATTTTTTCTTCTTTGAAACGCCTTCATTTTGTTTCATGTAACAACTAGTGTAAACAGATCAATGAAATCAATATTCAGGCTTGATTACTATGATGCTAAATATTGACGCTAACTGGATTTCTACATTTCATAGTGTTGTGTGACCTTATAAGACATTAGGTCATATAGGATAACATGTAGTAGAAAAAGTTTTAAATGTTCAGCAATACACTGACCTTCAACTTTCATTAAATTTACAAATAAATCATTTTATCAAGAAAGGAAGTTATCTGTTTGAATGATAAAAGTACATGTTGCATGTGAACAGAATTGAATCAATTCAGAAATGATAGTTGTTATTAGAAACGAAATGAGGTTTTATCATAGTCCTAACGATAAATTCTCAGGCTAATGAACATAAGAGATGGTCAAGAAGTTGGTGGTTTGTTGAAATGCCTTCGAAACGTATGCTCAATATAGCCAGAGTGCACTTTTTTTCCGCCTAGCTATTTACAAACGTTTCGTGTGAAGTAACAAATTATCAATGGCCATTACCGCGTTCGAATTTCTATCCAAACTACCAATAATGTGATTATTAGACCATGTTATTATTAAACAGGCAATAACTGTCAAAGTTGTAGGTTTTATTCATGTCTATTCTAAAACAATGATAGCCGATTATGCTAGTTTTTAAATTTGAAAATATTACTGGGTTGGTAGATTTGAAAAAAGAACAGGGAGTTATGGTGGGGAAAACTGTTTACTAATGCGGGGGCGGATATGAATAATAAATACAACGCCATTGTTGTTTTAATGCTAATCAGAAATGATGCTGTTTAAGAAAGGACGATCTTGACTTTTCACGTGTTAAAAAATCAAGAAAAATTAAGTTATTGTACAAAGTCTCATTTTGTAAACGAATGTCCATTTTATAAACAAAACGATTACACTTGGTTAAAATATGTTTTCTTACATTTTTGTTGGCTTTTTTTCTGGTCTAGAGTAAAAATCTATGATGTTCATATAAAATTTTAATCTTTACACTAAACAAATGTTTATTACTCAATAAATCTGTACAATACAAATAACATCATGATTTTAAATGTTAAAGTAAATTAAAAATATTTGCATGTTTGAAATATTTAGTTTTATGCAACCAATGTACATGAAATTTCATATCTGCAACCCGAATATCTTTGTAATATATTCAATGTACATCACATGTAGGTATTTAGTCGACTATGTGTGTATATTTGAATGATTTTCTATCCTTGATAAATCATCTTAACACTTATATTGTAATCCATTAAAATTCCTTGTTGTTTATTTGTAATAATGTAGAAAAAAGTTCTAGTTTCCTAAAATGCATAGTTAGGTATTAGGCATGAGGTTTTATTGAATAAGTCATATTGCTTTAATGTCTATGTACTGGTTTATTGATTTACCATTTTCTTAATCAATCAATCCAAACTGATGTATATTATTTTCAATATTGGAATCACGAACTGGTCTCAGCTAGGCCACTGCTGAAAACCTAATGGCACTGGGCAGTTGTTTTATCCTCAGCAGTGAGCACCTACAACTGCGTACGTGGGAATGGAACCGAGGACCCTGAGTCTCACGCGCGAACGCCTATTCTCTGGATCAGTGAGCTGACTGTCATTAGTGCTAATGTCTAACTTCAATGAGTCCACGATATTGCGTGAACATACACCATTGTCTTCACTGGTTAGGTGTTTCACTCTCGACACAATTAGACTTCACTAGTCACGGCTACTCACTAGAATTTCAGGAATAAATCTTGAAGCTAATCACTAGTGAGCATATGATGCGTGGATATCGACCGCATGCTTGTTTTCACAAATTATAATAGTGTAAAAATCGATATTCACTTTTTGGAATTAGTTTAGGTTACATTGATTCATTTTACCTTAGTAATGTTATAGGCTGAGTAAACATTTATGAAAAGGTTAATTAAATATTTTATTTACATTATATTGTATTTTTGAGATGTAATAAATTTCCTTCCAAAAAATGTTTTTATATATCATCAATTACAAACACAATCTTTTTAACATTCGTGTGGTAAAAAGTGATCTTGTCACTGTTGCTTTATTGTAATTTCTAAAAAAAGATTTCTTGTAAATAAGATACCAAAGGTTTTACTGAAATAATTAGATTTTCAGTGAATGTTTAAACCAATAAATAAGGCTTAGTAGTGCAACTGTTATTGTTTCATGTTTTTTTCGAATATATAAGGATTCTTAACTGAATGTAATTTTCTTCTGTGGGGCAAAATTGAATTAATTCCCTAACTTGTTTACTTTTTATACCACATTATTAGCGTGCTAGACAGGCAAGAATACGATTAGCTCAACTCATGGCAACTGTTAATGCTTGTGGAGAAAAATCTGAAACTCCAGAGCCATCAACTGATGAAGATTATGATGGTGATAATGAAGCGAAAAAGTCCACCAATTTTGAAGTTAAAACAACCACATCATACTCAGCTACTTCACCTTCAACAATTGTAAATACTGTTCAGTCAACAGGTAAAGATCGGAATTATGACAGATCGAGAAATTCAACAGACAGTGATCTAACCATCAGTCAGCATTCAAATTTAACTGGAAGTGGTTCGTTAACCTTGTTGAAAAATAAAAACAGAAACCTTATTACTGAACCACGTGTTGAATTAGATCATTCAGATTTAGACAGTATAAATCAACAATTCTCGTGCAATAGTTCAACATTTAATCAATTATCTAATGGCGTAGCGAAAGATACCTCTCCTTGTTCAGATCATACAATGGTTTTAAAAGACAAACAATATGAAACCGATAATTTATCAAGAAGGAATAATACTGATTTAGTACCACAAACGCAACATAAAGTAAGTAAATCCTTTGATCATAGTTTACTCTCACCATTGAAAACATTTTATTTCAATAATTTTTGAATATACTCCATGGTTTTAAGTATAATCATCTACCGTACATATGATTGTTATCTAAAAGTCTCATAGGATACAAAAAATGTAAAATAAACGAGTACAGGATAGTAATATCTGTAATTTTGACTCTTCTTTTCGTATTTATAAATTGAGAATGTATGGATTCTATAGGGTGTAAACATTCAATAGTAGACGTAAACCAACTAGTTTTTTTTGTTAACTTGTCGTACTAACTATTGACAGGTTGAATAGAAATTTGTTGACCAATATGAACAGTCATGTAAAACAATGAAACATATACATTGTTATAAAATATCGAAGTTAGGAAATAATTTTTTTTTCCATTGTTTGTTTGAGTCCTTTAGTATTGTTTTACTTTGTCTATATTAATTCACTTGATATTAATTGTTATCTAGAAACAAATTATTCACCAACATATTCATCACTTGTTGTAGTAAATAATGACGCAGATCATTAAAAAATAACAGAAAGATAATTATGTTCATTTAAAATTATTTAAGTAATGAATTAAGTGAAAATTAAAAAGGATAATGTTAAATTACTGTCTGGATGTAACAAGGCGGTCAGTATGTAAGAGTTATTTGTCTAGTTATAATTGGTCAGTTGATTCGATTGTAACATAATTCTTTCCTCAAATTTATGAATAAGTTCAGCTATCCTGCGTTGTCCATTTTGTCGATTTTATAGGAAGATACACTGTTTTCTGATCAGTTCTTTTTTGAATTAAATTAACCTAATTCAAAATCAAGCATTTAAAACAATAATGAAACACACAAACTAATCTAAAGTTTAACATGCGTATTAAACATGCTATTTAAGTTACCTTTGTGTCATAATAGTAAAAATTGTAGTTGACAGAAATCTAATGTTTTTTATAATGTGTGCTATGCTTATAACTTAATACTGTTATTTTGGATAAGGAAACAATTTTTTAGAAGCATATTATATAAATTCTCATCTCCTCAGATCTATAATCGGAACCATTACCAGACGGTTCCTAATATATAAAGTTCAGAACCTTTGAATATGATTCATCCCAAAAATGCATGCTTATAAGTTATTCAAAGGAAAGTCACAAATATCAAATGACTTAATCTTATTTTTATTATCTGAATAAATAATGTTGATTGAATTTTAGAGGAAACAGTTCGTTAACAGAATGCATGAATTTAGTGCTAAAAAATATCTATAATTCACGCGTAGCTATTTTTTTTCAATAATTAATCCAATTAACTTATAAACACTTAAATTCATACTTTGAAATTTGTCGATTTGTTTAGGTCTCGCATTCATCCAGTCTCAAATTAACTAATAAACATAAAATGATAAATCGTACGTTATCACTTAATGATGGAGGACAAAGTGAAAATAGAAGAGATCAACAAATAAATATTTTAGACAAGAATAAAAAACCGACTTTCTTACCAATATATATTCATCCGGCTAGCCAAAGCAGTTATTCAGATTCAAGTATGAATCAAGAAAGACATTCAAATCATCAACAGAAACGTACAACAAAAAGGCAAAAAACCAGTAAATGTAAAAGTTCTCGTAAAAGTAAACTAACATTTGAAGATCTTATATTGTTACAACAAAAGCATTTAATGGACTGTTTACATGTGGTCACGGTAAGTTGTATTCATTTCTTCTTGATTGTTATTTTATTTATCATAATCATTTTTCATGTATATCAAGTGTTTTCTGACCACTTGCATTTTTTGATTACTTATTCTTATATTTTATGTTGGTGTAGCAAGTAGCTGATTTAATGTATTTTGTCTCTCACACAAGTAATTGCATATTTTTAATACCAATTTAAACTATTGGAAAATGGTGTTAAACCGTCACAATGTGAGTTTACATTACCAGCGATGTCTTCTCCTTGTCTCTTTTGTATCAGTGGTTTGTAGAAAGTTAAAGAGAAGTTTTTATGTCATTTTATGTTGGTTTTTTAATACCGAGTGAGTAAAATTTACCAAAGCAGTAGTCAGTCTCTACTCAACAAAGTATGCAAAGCATCTATTTGAAAAAAAACACCAACAGTAAATCACCTGAAAATACTCATTAATACGTTTCTTTGAGATCAGCTGTTAATCTACTTTAAGCCTTCATCAAACGGTAGGTTTCATACTGAAACATTGATTTTTGCTTTTTTCGAGTTATTCTTGATTCAGTCTTGTTTTAGTCGTAAAGTTGTTTTGGATAAGGTATATTTTTTAAATGGATTAATATTTGTTTACTGATCTAAACAAATACATGGAATTTAAGATTTACTCCAATAGTATTGCAGTGCCTCCAAATACATTTGAGTTCGCTCATATGTGATTTGGTTAAGCCTTTTCGATTACTTTATTTAACCAAGCCATTTGTATAACAATAACTTAAATGTACCATTGGCTTTTATTATTGTCTGGTTTATATGGGCTGGTATAGCGGAACATTGCTTACCTACCGCTTACGCGCCTATTCATCGTATTCACCTTAATATTAACCTCTTAAATATTTCGATGATTCAGACATTTTCCTATGTATATATATGCACATTTAAATCTTATTAATGCACTTCGCCCGCTAGCGGGCTTGCCCTGCTCTGTGTGCTTGTGATCCATTGATCCATTTGTGGTGTGCCTAAATAAAGCATATTCAACACTTCGTGTTCACCTGTTTTAAAACCACCATTCGCTACTGAGTAACGATTATCTGGACGAGCCAATAACGAAGTCTAAGAACACGTTGAATACCGGTCGTCACGAAACTAGTGATACATTCCCCACCACAAAATTATCATTACACTTATACTGCTTCTTGTTCATATGGAACGACTAGAAAATTTAAATTGCCCTTAAAATAAGGATATTTTATTTCTTTTATGATATTACTCTTAATTAATATAAAACGGTACGGAGGTACCTATGTGAACATATTTTGCAGAAACTAAAAAACATCCATGCATTGCAATTTATTTCATTTTATTATAATAATATCAAATAGTAATAAATTACATTTTACATCAATTATAGATTTTATTTGGAATTGATCGACGACTGGTTAGCATAGTGCAAATATCTATTTTTCAATTAATTATTTTAATAAAATAATTATCAAATTAACAGATGTGTTTTATTCATAAACCAGTTCGTTATTAATTTTGGAAAAATAACATAGACTAGTTGTTTCACACTTCAGCAATGATATGTGCATAAATCGTTAGGAAATATTACCAAGTTAAAATAATTGTTAATTGAATTCTTGATCATTGAGTTTTTTTTATACAGTAGCTGTTATTGTAAAAGTTTGAAAATTGTAAAATCATACAGCTGAAAAAAATATTTAAAGATGTTTGTGATATTTTGTAAGATAGGAAGTAAATGAAAATGACTGTCACTTCTTGTCTGATCCGACTTCAATTTCAGGCATACAAACCAGTGATTCGCCTATTCGCATACCAAAATTAAAATTAATATTATTATTACTGGTTTTATAGTTTACTTTAAGGGCATGTGAATACCAGAGATCAGATGAGGCTTTCAAGATGATTTATTTCAAATATAATTACGGTATGGAAGCCTAGACGCATAAATCCTAGAATCAATGAATAAAATCTTTGAAAGTGTATATCTCATCGTTATGCCTGCGTTAACTAAGATCTGACTTGATCTTGGAGAACGAAACGATAACCAGTGACATGCTGTTAGAACAACTATGTTATGCTCTGTGACTCAGCCCAACTAAGTAAAGCTAGAATTTTGAAAGTCAAGCCGGAAGAATGTATAATCCATAGACAACCCCGAGCAAACGAATGAACAAGCGTTTAATTTAAGCGTAATAAGGCTTTAGAAGAGTTAAAAAGTCGCACTCATAGAGAGGAAACTAGTCAATGGGATTTAAGATCCTTCTAAGAGGAGAACACAAAATGGAGGTTATAAAATATGTTTTTGGCGCAAAATAACAAATTCACAATCTCGTACAAAATTAAGAGGTTTACCAAGTGATTTCTGGGGATTTAGCACCCTCAACACTTATCACTTCTATCATATTTGAAAGTTTCACTTTTTTTGGCAAGTTTAATTTTCTTATCAAATTAATGTTATGTGAAACTAATTTTTTCTTTCTTTATTTTCAATCTTTTAATTTACTGTTCATTTCAATCAAAAATTTATTATTTTCTATTGAATTTATTTCAATTTTCTTACAACAAATGATCAAAATCATTCATTAGAATCACTGAATCGAATACTTTCACACTAACACATTTTATTTTACAAAATGTATCGTTGCCTTTTCTAATGTTAGTTCAGAAATTATCTTAGCAATATTCGTTTAGTTGAAAATTACCTGCAGTTAGTTTAAGCTTTAAGTAAATCATTAGAATCTGAAAAGAAAAAATAATCAAAAAGTCAATTATCATTTGTATTCAATTAATCTGTCAAGTAGATATAAACAAATTATTTTCCAAATGACACAATAAGACAAGTGTATTTATCATTTGATATCTATGTTCATAAGATTAACTGAATATAAATTGAGCTAATTTTGTAAACATAGATTTCAGTTTCATCTTTATAACATAAAATGAAACAGATTTTTTTAAAACCTGTTTTCAAACTTTTCTGATTCTGTTACATTAAATAAAGTAAAGAACCAGTGGTCTCATATTTAAGCCGAATGTCATGAAACTTAAACGTTAAGGATTCAACCCATGGAGAGGAGATGTATGCTTGGCTTATCCAACAAATAAGAAAAACATGTAATCACAAAACTCTTTACAGAGTTCAGCAATAGCTCTCAATCTTTCAGTTTTAAACTATTTTGACCATGAATATTTATCCCACCGTCTATAATTTTCAGTCGTTTATTATACATTTAAAGACTTATTGAGAGGATTTACAAATTCAATTCATATTATAACCAAATTCTGTGTGGATAATTAAGCTATAAAAAAAATTTTTCGAAAACTTCATTGCCTTATAGTTAGTACACATAGATAAATAAATAAATATTTTTTTGCCTGATTGGTTATTCATTTATTAATTGAAATTTTTTATCAAATAAAATTTCTGCAATATGAAAACAGGAAATGACGTCTATTCAGTCATGCTTTGCTTTATCATTGTCTCCATGTGAATTACTACTGAAGTAGAAAAAATATTTCAAACTTGTTCTACATAAAGTTTGATAAAAAATTTTACTATTTGACATTTCGATGCAATACTATATTATATTTCTTTATTATTAAATCAAATATACTTTTTTTGAAACCTAAAGACTGATAATGATAAAATTTTGATTAATTAATTTATTATTTAGTAGAGTATATATATATAAAGTTCATGATAGTTCATTTTTTATGAACGCTTTATTAATCTCCAGATAAATGAATCATTCAGCTCGATACAATAATTCCGTTATCATTTCTTTATTTGCCTATGTACAACTTTTACCTCTCATGTAGCATAGCGCGTCGATCATCGTTCTCCAGCCAACTCTGTCTCAGGTCTTCCTTTCCAGTGTTTTTTACCCAATTGCTGTTCATTCTTTTCGTTTCTGTCTACGATTTTCGGCGTAGTGCGTTCTTTACCTCTTTTCTTTTAACGTTGAGGATTCCAAGCTACAGCTTGCCTTGTGATTTCCGCAACGTTTGTCCTATCCACCTCCAGTGCTTTTTCCTAATTTCTTTCATTGATGGAAGCTGGTTTGTTTTCTCCTACAGTAGGTTGTGGCTGTTGATGTCTAACCAGTGGATTCGTAATATCTTGCGTAGACAATTGTTAATAAACAAATGTATCATCTTATGAATTGTGGTTTTGATAATTCTCCAAGTTTCCTCCCATACAATAAAAACTTTTTGACGTTTTTATTGGAAATTCTGACATTGTTTAATAGCTGATAGTTTTTATGAGTTGCAAATGTTCTTCAGTTGTAGAAATGCTGCCCTTGCTTTGCTAATCCGTGTCTTTGCATTTGCTTCAGATACACCGTTTTTCAAACAAAATATTTGCATTCATCATAATTAATATTTTTTACTGAACGGTATGATTCCAATATTTTTGTCTTATTGTTACTTTAGTGTAACAATTCAACTAGAACATGCTGTTACATAATATTCTAAAACCTATTTACATTCAATTTATAGAGCAATTTAGAAGTGAATAATAGTCAGGAAATAATAATTATCATTATTGTCTAACGGTAAACCATTTAAAAGTTCAGATTATTTATCGAATATGGAAGTATTTTATAAGAAATTAAAAAATCGATAATTCTTTACAAATTCTTATTCATTCCTATACCAGTGAGATATAATCAAGCCATTCGCCCTATTGACTGCTTGCCTACTGAGAAATCTGCCATGTAAAAAACCTTTTATATCATGCTGCTTTTATTCAACCAACAATGGATATCTAGAGGTATAATTTGTTGACTTAGCTCTTGTAGATTTACACTAGCATGCTAATTTGTAAATTCTATTTATGTGACCTTCGATCTGGCTCCAAATCGGATGAACATTTGAATGCACTATGAAATGAATCTTTCATATAATTTCCGTATATTATTCCTTGGCGAATTCCGATTGTGCTACGGCATTAATAAGAAGCTAAATACGGATTCTGTTGCATGAGTTTATTTCATGTGATCATGTACTCACACAGATATGAGGATAAAAAGCGTGAAAATGAAGCGAAGTGGAGAAGGCGATTGAAGCAACGCAATTTGAGCATTCATAGTTAGACAAAAATGAGCTAAACACGTGATAATCAAAGCAAGCAAACCATGTGCGCACTCAATTAAGAACAACCAAAGTTACGAGCGAGTAATTGACATGGATGAAAGACGTTGAAATAACGACTTGAGAAGAATGGATTGAATAACTCATCAAGTGACTGGGACAAGCCATTTGGGCTTGACATATTAGTGCACAAAACATTGTGTCCTTGACACCTAGAAGGGGTTTCAATATTCGCACTATGAGGTGTTTGTTCATCCTTTTACTATGATGAGTTTTAGAAAAGCAATTATAGTTTTGACCTTCTAATGGCTTTAAGTGTGAATTTATGCCTAAATTCATTAGTAGCGTACAAAGGAGTAATTTTTAGATGAAAATCTGAATATGATGTAAACCCTGGTTTCATAGCGCGTAAATTCAGTTGATTCATGAAAACCCACCATGTATAAAGAGTATATATAATTCTCAATAATTGAGATATACTTTTTCCAATGTACATTTTTTAATAATCACCACTGATACCGATGATGAACGTCAAAAGTGGCGTATGAAAATGTATACAAAACAGAAAAACAGCTCCAAGTCAATAATATTAATAACAAACATTAGATGAATAGAAACTATCAATTTAAATGTCGTTTTATTAGTATACAGATTTTAAGCAGCTGAATACGATTACCCACTTCCAAAGGTCGCCTACTTAAAAATCTTCTATTCACTGGTTTTGATTTTCCAATGATTTTTCAAATAATATCATTTACCATTCAAGATTTTATTTCAACTAAGGAAATATGCGTGAATCACGTAACCAGTTCATTCATTTGTGAACAGTTGAATACCTTGATATTGATATAATTACAGTGTATACTACTACTACTTAATGAGAATATTGAAAAACACGAACAGAATATATATATATATATATATATATATATATATATATATATATATATATGTAACCAAAATATGTATATGTATACATACATATATCCATTTGTGATTTACCAAACATGAACAAAGATACACTTGACAATTAATTATAAATGCCAACGATTTTCCAAAAGAACTTATAAAGTAAAAATTCACCGTCAAAATAAAAGTAAAAAGTATAGACATAATAAAAAAATACTAAAGCGAACCACTAAATCATGAAAGCGCTAATAGTTTAAAGTAGAAAATATTTAGAATTAAAATAGGAGAAGAAAGAAAAAAACCAACTTTTTTTAAGAAAAAAATAGTGCCATAAATAATAGTCATACCGAAAAATATTAGTGATTTCTTTTTTTAATTCAATAGTTAAAGTATATCACGTGTAGTAGGATTATACATGATTTTACAAAAAAAAATGAAAACTCAAATCAAGATCTCCTCTTGCAAAAGACAAAATAGAATTATTAACTTACATAGACTAGCCTCGATTTTTATTCATTACATGAAACATATAATTAATACATGAAATTATATGCAATGCTGTTTAGAGGGAACATATTTTCTTGTATCCGATCTATTATTTTATCAATATTCACGATCATGGATTGGATTTCTAAAACATGCATGAGTTACGATAAAGAAGATTGGTTCATATTTTATTATAATATAACTAAATACTTATGCAGCTTACGAATATCAGCTAGTTGACATCAGTCAGTCAGATGCAACGTAGAACTTCGTACGTAAGTACATCAGTTCATGTTGTCATACCACAGAGATATAATTGTCAATTCAAATCCAATAGTAGTAGAGGTAGTAGACGTATTAGAAGTAATCGGAGAGGTTAGGATTAGAAGATATTATTCAAGAAGTATGATTCAGTGAGAAAAGGTTAGAAAGTCAAAACTAGAGGGGTTGAAGAATCCAGAAGATTAGGATTTGAGAGAACACACTAGTTGACATATATATATATATACATATATATATATGTATATATATATATATATATATATATATATATATATATATATATATATATATGCTATTTTTCTAGTATTCCGAAGATTACTCAAGAAAATAATCGAATACTCTTGTTAGGCTGTTAGCTTAGAAATGCGAAAAAAAAATAAAATGCAAAACATTTACTCAATAATTTACAAATCGATCGTTTATATTCGGTGACGCGAAAATAACCATTTGCTTTTCGTTTTTCCCTTCAATGTATGTACGAGTTATTTTTATTGGCTATTGTTTTGTTCAATATTATGCAACATTATGTTACGTCACTAGCTAGTTGATGGATGACACTGTCTTTTGTGATTAGATGAGTTTTTGTATTGTTGGCAAACAACATATGTAAACATTTTTTCGTTTATCGATGAGAAATTTTACTATCAATATAAATAAATGTATGGTACGAATATTACACTGAAAATATACCGCTTCTTGATAATTTTGAATAAAGATTATGGAAAATTCTGTTGTAATATAAATTCATTGTAATTTTATTCATTTATGACTAACTTACAAAACTTATAACCAGTGAAGTATCGAATTTCGTTAATAGACTTTAATTTTTATTTAAGTGAATGAGTAAGCCAACTGACGGCACAAAAAATAACTGCTAGTTTATCTAGTTCACATATAATGCAGTAATGTCAACCAAGTATGTCATGTTATCCATGTAAAATGAAAGTTGATAAAGATGGTTACTAATGGACTATGTTAAAATGGGTTATGAAAATAAATACAAACAAGTTGTTTGAAATGACATGAGTGTAATTCAGTAAGCCATAATCAAAGTGATATAATCGATGAAGATCATTTTTTCACTTTGCAACTTGAGTTTTCTCGAACAACCTTATTGCTTTTTGACGATTCAGTTCATCTTACCTGTTAAGTATGTCAAAAGATTAAAAATTACTGGTTGTAAATGAGGTGATGACATAAATGTGGATTTATTTTTATAGTGATAGTGAATTAACTTTGAAATGTCTACTCAGCTAATGATTACTAATATTTACAAGTAAATTTTCTGAAAACTGCAAGACAAGCCTACTAATCAATTAGTTGCAGGTATTTTCTCGAAGGAAATAATTATTCTGTATTTTTAAATCACACAATTTGAACAGTATGCATAAAATGTCATAGTTTTGTGTTCCATGCTTATAATAATTATGGAATTTTAAATAGTTCCATGTTTTTTCTATGTTCAAAAGTAATAAAACGAGCATAATTGTATAATTTTATGAAGACATTAATTTTATTGTGTGAATTTTTACGAAATTCTCAATAAAACTAGCTACATATTTTCATTTTGACATTTATTCAATGATTAAAAATATGCCAACAATAAACTTGGTAATTACTGCATCATTTAATATATATTTTTGAAATTTCTTTTTATACATGAATTAACAGGCAAGAGCAACAATTAATGAACCAAGAGAATCGAATAGCCATTTAAATGTTAATAATTCATTAATTAGTGCTTTGGAGCATGGAAACTTGAAGCATCGTAGACGTTTAACAAGTGAATCTATTTCTAAAATTTCTCGTTTTTTAAATATAAGACATTCGATAACAAAAGATTTATATGAAACTAGCAGATCTACAAATAATTTTAATGACTGCGATAATGCTGATGTTGGAAGCTGTCATCAAATGTTAACTGCTGATCAAGTAACTGAACGTCAACCTACCGTTCATCAAACTGAATCGAATCGTTCACATCATTTGCAAATACTCCGGTTACATGGTTCACGGAGTAAGCCGATCTCAGATCGTCATTGTTCAGCACTTAATTTAACTACATTTTCTAAACGAAAATTAAATCTTCATAAATTGAAACATGGTCATGGTTATCGTAATTTTTACAAAAAAATACATTGTTCCACTAATTATGAAGCGGATGATAATCATAATAATAAAAAATTAATGAATATGAAAGTTACAAATTCTTCACAAATACCAAACACAACTGAAATAATCGATACACAAGATGAAAATTATCATCATGATAATTCTATTGTAGACAATTCAATTTATCCTTTGTACAGTGAAACAAAACCATTATTAGATAATTCAAGATTTACTTATAGTGATGAATGTACTTTGAATGATTTTGAAAAAGAAAAGTCCTTTCTCACAAAAGATCCAGCTTTTGCATCTAGTCCCACTTGGCCATCGTTTAGATTTCCGTCTAATTCCTTTCAGTTCAAATCTAATTTCGAGCTTACTGATAAGTTATCGAATAATTATGAGAAGTCATTTAATCAGTCTGACATTGATAATCGTGAAATGTGTTGGCCTAATGAACCGAATCAAGTAAATGCCTTACCTACAAATTCCCTCAATTCAATGGTTTATCCGAAATCTGTGATGCATTGTAGTATAATTTTTAATTCAAAAGCAAATAATTCATCTCAATCATCATTTTTACAATCCAATGCAATGTGTTCATCGTTTGAAGATGAAAATTTAACTGAATTTGCCAGTGCAAAATCACATATTTCAAGTACATCTACATCACATCGAAATAGTTCATTAAATAATACCAATAATAATTTCATTATTCCTTCTCAGAAATGTCCAAAATTATCATTTCCTACAGATAAAGGTTTGTATAAAAGTCATATTAATTATGCCAATTTAAGTCCTAGACTTTCATATTCATTTCCACATGAATTATATCGTAATGTTTCACAAGATTTGTTAAAAAGTCAATGTGATGATCCACTTAGAAATTCTTCTTCCAAACTTGTTAAATCAAATACTGAAAATTTAATGGATATAAATTCAAGTAGTGTTTTTACTAATCCTGATCATTCAGAATCATAATTATCATTTGGACAAAAAATATAAAAGGAGTAATTAGGTAAGTATAGTGGTTTTTTCAAAAGCAGACTCTTATTCACTAATGGAATTGTATCAGTTAATGTATTTGGGATTTCGCAAGTCATTAGGATTGTGCACTTTTAGCATTTTTGATTATCTTTATTATAAAAATTTGTTTAAAGATTACGCTTTCGTCATACAACTAATGAGAAATCCATCTCCTGTTAGGAGATTCACTTAGTGACTTAGAATATGCAAATGATAATGTGCTGTATGTCGAAGACACATTGAACACCATTGCTGGTGTATTGGATTGCGATTCTCTCTCTCTCAATTCAAGATCTTGCTTGCTGGTTTTGTTCAATGATTGAATCAGTAGTAAGAAGTGAAGGAGTTGAATGTATCGACCACAATTTACAAACGTCTTGTCTGTTAACTTTGATCTTGATTGATTATTGTTGACCTTTAAAATGTCCTTATCTGCATATCAGTTTGATTGTTTCTTCCTTTGATTTGATTCTGGATCCTATATTTGCCCATGTTTAACTTATCATTGGCATGGACAAATATAGAACCAAAAAGTCAAATTAAAGGGAGAAGCAGTCAAACTAAAAATCAGATAATGACATAGTCAAGATCAACAATAACCAATCAAGTTCAAAGTTGACAGACAAGCTGTTGGTAACTTAGAGAAATTCGAACACTTCATCTCTACCTGAAGTGTGTGCTAATGTTGCTAAAAAAACAATGAAATCTCCACAAATAAGCCATCCTGTTCAAAGAAGGAAATTCCATCAAATTAATATTGTAATTAGCTAGCCTAATATCATTAGAACAAAGTATTTCGTAAGAAATTTTAATATAACACTCGAAAATGATAAAAGAATGAATGCATATGCAGTAAATAATCAGTCATAAGAATTATTGATTGTAAACCTTACTGACATTAGTTTTGTTATTTTTCGTGCTATTAATCGGTTTGTAATAAGTAAAGGCAAGAAAAAAATGAAGAGTATTTATTAGCAGTGAAGTTAGCAAATAGGCAAGCAAATAGATCCTGGTTATTTGAATGTATGTACGTGTAGGTGTGTGAATCTGTTTTTGTGTCTTTGCACACACATATATCAACTTTCTCTCCTAATGGACTTTCAATCCCACTTAAATTACGTGGTTGATATTTATTTTGTTATTGTTAACTTATGATTATGAAAAATAGGAAATACTCGAATATTAATGTATAATTATCTGTCCAACTAACGGCTTCTTAAATATCGATCGATTTCACATTGTTTTCTGGGTGGTGTTGTTATTGATTGCATGTATAAATTTGTATTTTATTTTCAAACTTAATGTCTAATCCTTTTGAACATGATTGTTTTTCGTCAGTACTATATTCGATCATGGCAGTCAGTGTTTTTCGTAATTACAAGATGAAATAAATTTTAAACTTTAATTTTAATTAAAATAAGTAAGTTATTCAGGTCCTCGTAATAAAATCACAGTTCCCACTACTTCCATGGTGTGAGGCAGACGGGAAGTAACATCCTCCCTCATAGCCATAAAAGCACAAGAGACCAAATTCGTCACAGTCAGATCCTTTCTACATCTCTTATCTCCTCGTCTAACCCATCGATCGTTTATCACCTCACGCCCCTGAAGCAAACGGTATGAGCTCACGAAACATTATTCCTGGTCTCTTGAAACCCCGTACTAAATTACATATAGGAGCTTTTATTGTTCGGACCCTATGCCAAATACGGCAACAAGTTTCATTAGCTAGAACTCTGGAATCCCGGGCGATCGATGTATGTTGCATCTCGGAAACATGCATACAGCCTCCGAGTAAGACCATCAATTTGATCTCACCTAGTGCAGATAGAGACACAAGGAGGTTTAGGCTTCGTGTTTCTGGAAGCCCGCTTCTTGTGGCCTCGCCGGCGTAGGTATAGTATTAAGTCCTAGGGCAGAACTAGCTTTCTTAGACTAGATTCCGAATGACAGTCGCTTATACGCTGTCCGACTAAACGGGACGGTATGGTCTCGGAAGGATAGGGACACTCGCCGTTGCCTCTTCGTCGTTTCTGCCTACGCTTCCACTGACCGCAGTTCAGACGACATGAAAGATACATTTCATAGAAACTTCTCTAAACTTCTTCAAAATGTTAAGCGCCGATTAAGCAACGCTGTTATTAGGAAACGGGTGCTAGGTAAGGATGGCAGGTCAATGGATGAAGTGATGAAACTTCATCACTTGAGGTGGTTGAGACATGTGCTACGAATGCCCGACCACCGACTATCTCGTAGAGCTATGTTTTGTGGTGTAGGATTAGGTTGAAAGAAAGCTAGGTGCGACCAGACCAAAACATGGAAGAAATCCATGAAGTCACTGACAAATAGAGTGAGCCATGTTGGTAGATATAGGCTACCTGGTTGGGGTCCGCGTGACGAGTCACCAATGGTTAGAGACCTTAAGTGACATGGCTCAAAACCGTTTGCAATAGCGCAGGTGCATTTACTCTTTGCGTTCTGTGAAATTCTAACCTTCTGAATTCGTCATCACCTATATCTCTCTCTTTCTAAATTTACCTCACTGAATTATACTTCTTGAATAACATCTTCAAATCCTAATCCCACCGATTACTTCTTGAATTGAAAATTATATCTCTGTGCTAATGTGGTATGGCAACTTGAACTGATGTACTTACGTACGAAGTTCTACGTTGCATGTTACTGACTGACCCACTACTGCGATGGAAGATGATGGCTAGCTCAAAAGTAGGTTGGAAGAAATCTAGCTGACAGCGAAAAGAAAACTTAACAACAGTTGCACTGAGCCATATGAGCAGGCTGAGAGTCAGTAGTTACTGTTGGCCGGATTACAATAACAAATGGTTACAGAATTTGAATAATGCGGTTCAGAGTTGTTTACAGATGCATTCATTCTGTATTACATCAAAATTATCCTGGAAATCTGTATATTTTTGGCATCATATCTTCCTTGTCTACATTTTTGAACTTGTAACAATACTGCTACTGTATCTACTATTTTGACATCTTTTTGTGGTTTCGAATCTAATTCTACAGAACTGATTCACTTCAGTTGTAAAGTTACGATGAATCTAAGCGTTTGAAAATTAACTAATGAAAAAATTTTCTCTAGAATAATGTTATTTATCAGAGTTGAATATCTGCATTATGGTTTATTTAAGAATAATAATTATTCAGTCATTAACTAAGTTTAATCATTATGCGAAATAGTTATATTATCATGTAAAATATTAGGAAAAAATACAGTCAGATGAAATTAGTAAATTAAATGAAAAACACGAAAGCAAATCATCTAGTCCAAGTAAATTAAAAAAAAACAACACAGACTATTACCATTTACAAAGGATTAATATCTGATTGATTCTTACAGCTAACTAAACATATTGTTTAAGAGCCATCGACTGTTTTTCTTTAACGCATTATACGTTAGCAATGTAGAATTATTTTTCAAGAAATGTTAATCTTTTTAGTTTTTGGTTAGTCAAAGCAAAAATAATAAGAATTCGACTACTAAAAATTCAAAAATAATAATGAATGAATGAAACAGTGAAAAACTTGAAGAGAAAAAAAAATGAATAAAACATTTCACCAATTTATTGAATATCTTTTTGTTATAACTCAATAAGAACACTCCTTAAGATGTATTCTGTTTTGATTGAATTATAAACTACAAATTGTACAAGCGTAGATATCTAAGCATGTAACAGTTGACTGATAAAAATCAATCTGATGATTTCTTATTTGTCATTCATTTAATCACACAGTTAATGATAAAAAGTACACGATATTCAATTGCGAAATACTTAATTATTTCGTTATCTATAATAATGAAATAAATTGTGCTTTCATTGGAAAAATATAATTTTCATAGAATACAACTGTAATATCAGCTGTATCTAACAATCATGGTTGTTGAAGTGTACATTTATTGGTATAAAAAACCTATGAAATAACCATTTTTTAATATTGTAGTGAACTGTATTAAGGAGACATCATTCAGTAGAAACTTTGTTTCTGTCATGTTGGTGTATGGACCATAACGACCATAATGGAATTAACATAGAATTAGACTGTTAAAAACTGAACACTATCAGACCGCCAGAATAGTTGAGTGTCAGTTCAATCTTTAGACAAACCAACGAAATCAGATTTCACAATTCTGTTTATGAAGTCATTAGAATGTTTCTTTGTATATTGACAATTGAATTTTGACGTTTTGCGATTTTATGATTTTTCATCACTATGCACACACATATATGTACAACTGGAAACTTATTAACTGATCATTCAGCTTACTTGACAAATAAAAATGGAGAGTTTTTATGGATAGATGTTCGGGAAGTTAGATCCCCAGATCTCATTCGGGAAAGGGCCTAATTTTGTAATTTTATTCAGAAATTTTTAATTTTATGTTTTCGCGCTCAAAACGCTTGGTTGACCTTCAGCTTACATTTGCCACCCGGAAAATTCTTGACTGTCATTGGCTGATAGATTATTTTTGTATGCTATTTTGTGGCTCTCACCAAGAGCTTTTTATCTTTGAGTAAATAAACTTGATTTGTGTGCTTAACAACCTTGAATTTCCTGTGTTCCTGTGAATACATTCTCTATACGTCTCATCAAGACTTCTTCCTTTAGTTAGCGGGGCCTGAAACAATCGAATTAGAATAGCCTATTGTGTCACTGCATTGTTTATCTTCGTTCCATTTACCAAGGAAGATAAACTCATAATAGATTCAAGCATATCAATAAGTTTACGAAAATTAATTCGTTCAATTTAATATTACACTAGTCATACCTGCTTAGCTATTTTCACTCAGTAGTCTTTTCAGTGATCTTTTATAAACTATCCAGTTCTCAGCCTGGAATGACTCTACTTATCTTTTTTTCTCAAAATCCATTCACTATAGTTGATTTTAGAAGAAAAATGAAAGTTGAAATTTGATGTACATTTG